GCTCTACACAGAACCCTATGCCTTGGCTTCTTCAATGCTACAAAACCACCGCCGTGGAGCTTCACAATTTGTCCTGTCTGATCCTGGGTCAAGGACCAAACGAGCCAGTGAGAGATAGATTATGTTATTGGTTAATGGTAATCATGCACTGTGACTGTATGATGAAGTGCCTTTACCCCACCCTTAGAGTTTCAGTGCTCTCTGTGATTAGGGATACTAAATGCAATAAAAGAGAGGGGCAGACAAATGTGCCTCAGGGCGGCGGGGGATTTGTAACTGAAAGCACATCTATGTCTGTTCACCTCGCAAAGATAAGAATCAAACCTTATCCTGTCCTCTTATGTTGTTTGCTGTGCTCAATAAGTGTCAATTCAGACAAATACGCGGGTAGTCCAAATGATGAATACAGAACAAACCGCTGGCAGAGATGGAAGACGGAGCTAGTGGGCCCGACAGACAGCAATACTCCAACCCAGCAGGACCACCGGTGACTAGGGGTCAAAGTTGAAGAGGTCACACAAGAGGTTCAGCCTGAATTGTGGAGGGAGAATGATCAGGACAGCTCCATACTGCAGTTCAAGAGGCGGCAGAGGCGTGCGATGCTGCTTATGACATAAAAGTTTAATTGTGAACATAAGAGCATGTGGAGTTGTTGAGAAGCAACAGGATGTATTGTAGTGTCTCAGTTCTAGAAGACGTGCATGATCCATTTGTGAGTGCTTGTTATCCTCTTGGGTGTGTCCCAGCATCTGCCATCCTGAGATCCAATAAGAAGGAGGAGGGGGCCCATCAGACCCGGATCCCCTGCAGAAAGAGTTATGCTTGCTGGGGCATGATTGCCAGAAAGCTGGTCAAGAGTGGGGACCCCGGCTCATGAGTAGGCTGCAGGCTGATGTCTAAGAGGAACACTGAGAGTTTGAGACACAGAAAGCTTGAGATATTCAAAACTGCGCTGCCACTCAGCAATGCACCACAATTAAATGTATTATATTTTATGCGTTAAAAGGATTGACTTGTTTCCTGACCCACCTCTATTGTATTAATCATGTAGTAACCGAGCATGTTTCTTAAATTAAATAGAGTATATAGCATTAGGTGCACTAATGTTAGCCCCCCAGCACAGCATCCTGCATTGACAAGTACTTGTTCTAACACATTGACGAAGTGGTGAGGACACATACGGGCCAAATCAATTACACACAGAGTTTGAAGGGTTCATTGGGGTGAAGACTCCCATAACTGGCAGAAAATAAGAATAAGTTCAAGAATGTGTTTCTAAGCATCTTAAGTAGGTGGAAGTTGATAAAAGTAGGTGTTTAGTGTATCATGGAAAACACCTTATTTATCGACAAGTCACGGTCGCACCATATGACATGATAGAACCACAGCCAAAATTATACTGATGGAAAACCCCTGAAGAGGTCTAAAAGAGATATGGAATTATGATTTCTGTATGTACAACATTACACATGTTTATTGATTGTGATGGATAAGTATTGAGGCTTTAAATTAGTTTGGTGGGGACCCTAATACATCAATGATCCGCCAACACTAATCCCTGTAGAAGCGAGGATCTCCACAGGGGTAGAGGTCATTGTAGATTTCTAGCCTATTTTATCTCCTGATGAACCAAGAGGGAAAACAGGTCAACAGGAGGGCAGGAGAGGTCCATAGCTGGGCCTTGGAGAGCCAGCATAAGGATGCGGAGGAGCATCCTGGAAGTGGCCGTGTCGACGAACAGCGAAAACTGTGAGGTCACTGGGCTTATGGAGTGGTATGGACTGGAGGAGCAAACCTGTTATTATAGTCCAGTTGGGATCACTGCAGATGTAGGCCAGAGAGGGAAGTGTCAGTCGTTATTCTCCATTATTGTTGTTTTATTATCACTCATTGTTCCCACTTTGTCTGCATTCAGGTCAGCCCAGAGACGAGTCGCACAGAATAGAAGAAATGTTTCTGATAGGTAGCTTCAGACATGCGGTACGTTTGAGGACATAGGAAAAAAGGGGAATTTCTTGTTATGTTCACTCGTTTTGATCATGTAACGTGACGAGTTGCAATTCACAAGCTACCAGTACATTACAGGACATATTTCTGATTATGTTACGGAGTAAATGCAAAACAAAATCAGTATAATAACACTACTATTATAAAGCTAGGGGTTTCTAATGTCCCATGGACTTGAACTCAATCCTTCTCCTACGGCCTTCGTTACTTTGAGTGGGGGAGGAGTTCATGCCCGCTACAGAGCATGCGCAGACTAACAAGGGTTTAGAAGATGGCGGCTTGTAAACATTGCTGCTAGCGGGTAAAGCTAACGATGCCTAACACAAAGTCCATGGGCCCCACCATACTCCGGGTAGACCCAATAACACTGGCAATACGGATTGTGAATAGATGCATCTTCCCTAAGTTATTTGCATGGAACTAATCTTATAATCAGCCTGAGGAGCGAATTAAGGCGACGAGTGAGCAGACCGGGCCAGTACACACGGCTGCAGGAAGCAAGCACAGTCCCACCACCGCCCCTGCCCCCCACAGGAACCACGCAAAGGTAATAAACGAGATAACATGGGAACACCAAGGGACCCGGTCGTATTTCTAAAAGCTACCACTTTGAACCTGAACTGTTAGCTGAATCGGATCTCTGATACCAAGCTGCGCTACCGCTTAGCCATGATGCTATATGTGTTCCGTCATGCTACGGAAGCTAAAACCTGAGCCGCAACCTCCCCCTGGTGCTATCTGAGTTTCCTTAAGCTTGTTCTTGCAATCTGGGAGCACATTCCGTGGATTATAGACCTGGGCCTTTAATGCTGAGGGTAAATCAAAATCAAACTGATTATTAAAAGTGAATTGAGTTGATTAAACTGGATTTAGAAGTGGGCGTTAGCGCTGTTCTTATTCTAATGGGATTATCCCTCAGTTCTAGCTCAATGATCTGCCGGTTAATACCTCATCAAGTTACTTTTAGGCTAAACACACATGTGTTCTATCAACTAGTGGAGATAATGAGTTCTCTGATAACCGAAAGCCATCAGAGAGATCTGACGAGGACAGGTGTGAGGTTACTGTCTTCGAGGCCAGGATGACTTCAGCAGGTTAAGGGAAAGAATAGAGCATACTTGGCTCTGGGAGCTGCGCCACATAAATACTTTAACATTAAACAGTAGATGTTGAGAGCAAAGCTGTTGGTGTAAGACCCTGATTGGATTTAGCCATTGGTATGGTAGCACAGTGTGAGACGTTGTATTCAGGGCAACGCTAGGGGATATGCAAATCAGAAATTATTCATTTATTTATTATTTTACTGTTTATTATCGACTCAGCATCAGCATGACAGCGAGATGCAGGGTCAAAGTTGATTTCCTGCCTCATAACATTGGAGGACTGAATGATTCGCCTTTGAACCCCTGTCATTACAGAAGCCGAAAGTCAGTCCCACTCCAGCCACTGAGTCGTGAGGGGGAAACGTGAGAATCTCCAGGAGAGGAGGGATGAATACGGAGAGACATTATGGTGAGCCACGGAGCGGGAATATGGTTAGCATTAAAGTTCACAACCCAGGTATACGGAGCTGCAGCTCAAAAGAGGACACAACTGCCATGGATGGGACACACAAGGACAGAGATTGAATCCTGATAATTGGAGGTGGTTGGTTCCTGTACCACATTGATCAGATCGGCTAAATTTGTACAGAATCTGTGAGGGTGACCAGAAGCTAATTGACTCATATAAGAGGGCAATAATTTTGTCCCTTATAGTACTGGTATTTGTATCTGTAATTCAGGTTACATTGGTCTGAGATTAAACATTAAAGAAATGTTCCTGTATTAATAATCATTCTACTTTCCTTTCCCATAGGGCCCCTCCTAAGAAGAGCGGAGACGGCAGCTATCCACAGAATGTCCAGCCCTGACCTCACCGACAGCCACCAAACCATCACCAAGGAGCTCGACGACTTGTCCAGAACGATCCCGGGTCAAGGACCAGACAAGCCAGTGTGAGATGGATTGTGTTATTAGTTAGAGATAATCTTGCCACTGTGACTGCGTGATGACGTGTCTTTCCCTCCCTTTAGAGTTACAGTGCTCTCCATAATTAGGGATCCCAAAGGCAACAAAAAGAGAAGGGCAGGCAGATGTGCCTCAGAGCAGCAGGAGATTTGCAACTGCGCAAGATTCTGTCTGTTAACCTCGCGAATTTTCAGAATCAACCTTCACTTGTCTCCCCTGTGTTGTTTGCTGTGTTAATAAGGTGTCAATTCTGACAGACTTGCAAGCGGTCAAAATGATGAATACAAACCGAGCCGCTGGCAGAGATGGAAGATGAGGCCGGGGAGCCCGACGGACAGCAAGACTCCCACCCGACACGACCACCGGTGACTGGGGGCCAAAGAAGGAGAAGCCACACAAGAGGATCAGCCCGATTTGTAGAAAGAGTACGGCCCTGGATAGCTCCACACTGCGCCTCAAGAGGCGGAAGGGGTGTGGAATGCAGCCCATGGCACAAAAGTTTAATTGTGGACATAAGAGCATGTGAAGTTGTTGAGAAGCACCAAAATGTCCGTAGTGTCTTAGTTCCAGGATGCATGCATGATCCCTTTATGTATTAGATGTTTGTTATCCTTCTGGGTGTGTAACAGCTTCTGCCGTTCTGGAACCCAACAAGAGGGAGGAGGAGGCCCGCCCCAGATTAGTATCCTCTACAGAAAGGGTCATGCCAACTGGAGCCCAACCGGCCAGAGAGCCGACCAAGAGGTTGGGGAAAATGGCCCATGAGTAGACCGCTGGCCGAAGCCTCAAGAAGGACATCGAGAGCCCGAGACAGAGGCAGCCCAAGATACCCAGAACTGAGGGATTGAAACAAAGAGACTGTTAGAAAAGTAGCATCAGAGTTTCTGTGTGTTACTTTGGTGTCTTGCCTTTCAGCTATACCAGTTCCCCATATAGCACTGTCCAGGTAAAATAAATCCTGTTGCTGACTGTCCTTGTTTTACTGCAGACCAGAAAGGGGGAGGAAATGAGTAAGTGTTAAGAAGCAATGAGGTGTTTTGTAACGTTCAAGTTTTCAGAGGGTGTATGCGTTCTTTTGTTTGCAGCAGATTTGTTGACTTTATGGGTGTGTCCGTGAAGCAGCCATCTTGGAACCCAGTAAAGAGGAGACCCACCTGAAGCCCAGCTCCATTATAGAGTCGGCTATATTAGCTGGGGTTTTAACTGGCTGGGCAGTCCACTAAGAAGGCGGGGACAGCGGCACACCAGGAGACTGCTGGCTGATGTTTAGAACGACATCAAGGTTTAAGACAACACTACGGACTCAAGATTTCGAGAGATGAGAGACCGAAGCCAGGAGACCGCTCAAACTGAGTGATGGCAGCAGAGCAGGGGAACGAGACAGAGAGGCCAGAGCAAGGAGCTGCGACCAGGGCCCTGGCACCATCAATTCCCCTAATGAAGAAATGCGGCAAGTCAGCACATATGTCAGGGGCAGCTTCCAGACATGCATTCTGTGGGAAATTAACCCCAGCTTCAGTGGTGTTAAGTAGAATGCACATGTTATGTCTCCTTGAAAGAATGGAATTTACTAAGTAACTCCCCCTCTGCCTCGTGAAAAGTTCAAAGCAGTGTTAGTGCTCAGGAAGCTCAATGTTGTAAGAATATTGAAAGAGGATGTTGACTGCATCAGCACTTATCTTTGTGGAAGCAAGGATTGTGAGAAGGGAAGCTTACAGATCACTATTACCTCCTAGACTAAGGAGAGCCTCCTAAGGTTAGAACTGAATTATTATGATTACATTAATGTGCCCACTTTGGGAGGTTGAACATGTACTCATTGATTCTAAGCAGAGTCAAAAAATAAAGCAATCACTTGTACCTTCTACTTAAGTGAGGGACACGACAAAGTGTCCCCCACAAGGTCAATTATTGCACCAATTTTCAAGCAAATCAAATTGGTGTGTTTCACCTGAGTTAACACTCTGAAATGCCCAGTGATTGAGAGTATCAGTATTTCCATGCGTTGAAAGGATTGACCTGTTCCTGGCCTACTATAATTGTATAAGTCATGTGGTCCGACTGATTATAAAGCATGTTTCTTGTATTGAAATAGAGTATTTGGCTTCTGGAGCATAAGTGTTAACCCCTATCACAACCTCCTTAATCGACAAGCACCTGTCTACAACACATTGGGTGAGATGGCAAAGACAAATCAGTTACACATGGAATCTGAGAGGTTTATTAGGGTGAAGGCTCACATAACTGGCAGAAAATGAAATAAATTCAAGAATGTGTTTCTAATCGTCTTTAAATAAATGGAAACTTATAAAGTAGGTGTTTAGTGTATCATGGAAAACACCTTATTTGTTGACAACCACAGCCAAATTGTATTGATGGAAAACCCCTGAAGAGGTCTGGTATGGAATTATGGTTTCTGTATGCACAACATTACCATGTTTTATTAGTTGTGATGGATATAAATTTTGAGGTTATAATGCAGCTTGGTTGAAATCCTAATACATCAATGACCCATTAACACTCACCTTTGTAGAAACAGAGACCTCCACTGAGGTAGAAGTCTTTGTGGATTTCATTTTCCCTCCTGATAAACTATGACAGGCCAACAGAGGAGCAGGAGAAATCCCTGGCTGGACCTTCACAAGAACTAGCAGACGGATGCAGGAGAGCACTTCCAAATATGACTGCATCAACAAACAACATAAACAAATGAGGTCCCTGGGCTTATGGAGCCACATGCATCAAAAGAGAGACCAGTCATTCTGGTCCAGTTGGAAGTTACTGTAAAAGTAGGCCAGAACATTACATTACTTACTCAAAGCATTGAACCAGGAGGGTGCTTATTCACCGTGCTGAGGGAAATGTCAGTCCTTATTTTACCATTAATATTGTTTTATCATCATCCATTGTTTCCCCTTCCTCTGCATTCAAGTCTGCCCGCAGTCACAAAGAATGACCGGAGATGCTTTTAATTGGTTGCCTCAGACGTGAGGTACGTTCGAGGACATAAGAACAAAGGGTTTCCTATCACATTCACTTACCTTTGACT